TTTCTTTCAGTTATTGTACTGTTCTATACTTTCAAACAGTTTTTTTTTATCAGTCAGATATTGTATTCATATTAGATTCTCATGTACTCAGTGACACCGAATTTTGGGAGTGTTATATTTGAAATTGTGAGATTTCTTCCGCTGAATTTAATTATTTGTTTTCAAATTTAAAAGATATGGTGGTTTATTGAGATTTTCGGCTTGCCTAGTATTGAGATAGGCGCCATCACGACAGGTGAGATTTTGGGTCGTGACAATTCCTAAATACCCAAGTAGCATCCTAATTATAGATGTGGTCGACAACACACTGATAAGGACTCTACTAGACACGGCTCCGAGACATCCTAGGACACTTTAAAATCTTAGGCTCTGATACCAAGTTTGTCATGCCCCGACCTCGGGGAGCGCATCCGGCGCTCAACAGAGTTACCTCGATCGATCAAGCCTGCACAGTGCCATCTACCCAACTCACCCACAAATAAAGAGAAGAATACATCTTCATAATAAGTCAATAAGAAGTCATGTGAATAGCACCGGTTCATTTCCATTAGATACGTCATTAACAAGTCTTCAAAACAGTACGTTGTACAATCATAGTTAAGTGGAACAGATGATACCATTACAAAATTTTTAGTTTAACTTTCCCAAAAATAGATACAACCCACACTATGTCTACGGAGCCTATAACATGAACAGAAGAGTGCTATGACAGTGCCGGCAACAAGGCCCCGAATATACTTCAAAATGCTATGTACAAAGGATAGAAGATAAGGACCCCAAAATGAAGTGGGGCTCACCAAATCAACCGAGGAGAGGGTGTGCTGCTATCACTAATCAATACCACCTGCATCCATTAAAGATGCAGCTCCCCCGAAAAAAAGGGGAACGTTAGTACATATGGAATAGTACTAGTATGTAAAACTAAACGCCCTCTCAATAGAATGAGCAACAGTAAACGGAGAATAAACATGATATCAATAAGAGACTCAAACAGTATCAAAGTGTCACATTAAGGGAAACGTAAATTTCAAGTAGATTTCGGTAATTTAAGTTGGGAGATATTTAGCACCGATATACCACCGTATTTTAGCACGGAGTCCGATCTCAGCCCGACCGGCTAAGCTGTCTCTCCCTGAGATATACACTCACAATACCACCATGTGCGTAGCATGGCATCCGATCTCAGCCCGATCGGCTAAGTCGTGTCACCACAATGCCGTGTGGATCGACACTACATCACATCTAGCTAGCAATAATCTCATCCCATTTAAGGGGAAAACATCTCAACACACCAATCTCATCCCATATAAGGGGAAACGATCTCATCACATTAACACAGGGATTTACCCCACAATCACTCCTATACTGGCACGTGTAGTTTTGGGGTTAGGTTGTTCCGACCTGCCCTTCTTCGGTGGCTAATTTATACTCCCAAAGCATTTGTTATTAAAAGTATTTACCACTCAATTCATATTCTTTTACATGTCTTTCATTTTATTGACATCATTGGCCAAAACGCAATATCATTCTTGGCATATTGGTCATACTTCATAATTTAACTCATTATCCCATTTTCAATCGTTATCATAAATAATCAACAACAAGGCCTTTCAACATTAAGACTTTAATCACATACTTGAGCAAATTAGGGTCTTAGGCACAAATGACTTCTTACACAATTGACATGGTAGCTTTCATAAGAATTTACGCTCTCAAATCATAACATAGTAACACACAACCCATACTTAAGCCACATCATCTAACATTAACTTATCATAAAAAGAATCTTTGGAATACATATTGAACACATAATTATTTCGACACAAGGCTTATTTGACAAAAAATTCAATTTAAAAGGGGCATGACTTATAAGGACATTGCAGGGTTCAATTCTAAGAGAAGAGTTTAGCCAGCATACCTCACTTGAGCTCCCTCAAACTCTAAAATATTCCGAAAATCATAGCAACTTCAATCTATTGTAGAAATGTAACAAATTTAACCAAAATTAGGAAGATACTCATGGTTCTAGATCCTTTGAGCATTTTATCAAATATTAGGTGTGCATTAAGGTTTCAAGGCCCTTTCATGGAGGATCACATCATCACACAACCCATTCTTTACCATTTTAGCTCAACAATCTCCCTACATCCCTTGATAACACACGCATGCAAAATAACCAACTCCCATACCCAAAACTTATCTTACCAATTACCCATTCCTAGTTAAATTTCGAAATTGAGGTTTAGGGTGTAGAATTTTACCTCTAAGATGAAGACCTAGTGTGTTTTCTTTGATAATCTTCTAAAATTTGAGTAAGAATTGAGGAACAATTGGTCGAGGAACTCTCTCCCTCTCTAGAGCACTTTCTTTCTCTCAAAATATTAGGGTTTTGCTCAAAATATGATACATATTTTCTATTTAATGAAGTAGGGTCGGGTTATAAAACGCCAAAAAAATAAGCTCCGGAATAGGATATGCGGTCACATATGCAATCGTATAATGCATCTGCGGTCCGCAAAATGGACCGCGAAATGAACCTCCAGAACTAGAAAAACTCTGCATGGGTTTGCGGCCACTATAAGGCTCGCAGACCTGTTCTGCGGTCGCATAATGAACCACAGAACAGTTCTGCGATCGTATAGTCGACCGTAGAATGGCTCCCAAACTTGCCCAGCCCTGCCTCACTCTGCGGCCATTCTGCGGCCCGCAGAGTGATTTTTCGGTTGCATAATGGATCGCAAAAATATCTTTTTCTGCCAAAAAATTTTCTTTAACTCCTCAGTGTACTGTTCAACCCAAAAAGTCCGCTCGCCACGAAGAATTTATATAATCTTCAAATACATAAGCCTACTTCGACACCATGAAACCTTAAATTACCTTACGGAATTTTACAGGGCCTTACAAGTTTCATCCAGTACTTCCTCAATATTATGAATGCTTCCTTCAGATGGTCGATGTGATCCTCAGCCCTCAAGGATTTGACTAACATGTCGTCGATGTATAATTTCATAGTTTTGCCGAGCCGATCTATGAATATCTTTATGACCAGTCTTTTGGTACGTGGCCCCTGCATTCTTTAACCCGAATGACATGACCCTATTGTAGTAAGTTCCCTTATGAGTGATGAATGTATTTTTCTCCTGGTCATCCTCATCCATAAGTATCTAGTTGTAGCCTGAGTATGCTTCCAGGAATCTCAGCAACTCGTGTACCGTTGTGGCGTCGATGAGCTGTTCAATATGCGGCAATGGGAACAAATCCTTCATGCATGCTTTTTTCAGATCAGTGAAGTCCACGCACATCCTCCACTTCTCGTTCTTCTTTTAACCATTACTACGTTAGTGATCCACTTGGGATACTTTGACTCCCTGATAAAGTCGTTTGCTAGGAGTTTCTCCACTTCTTTTATGGACAGCCTCGTTGATGGCGGCATTGAACTTTCGTCGGACCTTCCTTACTCATGCTGACCAAGGTGTCAGTTACCCAAGCCTCTAGGAGTTTTTGATGGCAGGTGGTGCTTTTCTCCATGGACGTGGAAGCTTTTTTTCCGTTGGGTTTGGTCGTGCTACAGAAGGGTGTCAACGACTTCCTTAGCCTGAGGGTTGGCATAGGGGTCGTTTCTTCATCTTGTGTTTCGTACCCTTCGTCGATGGCACTCATTAGATTGAGTGAGATGTTGTATGTTGCTACCAACTCCTTTTCTTCAGTCGGGTTTTCCCTGGTTACCTGCCATGGAGTCTTTGTATGCAAAGAAGAAAAAAAGGATAGCCTTACAGTGTACTAAGTTAGTGAGTTATGAGCGTTGTAGATCTTAATGAAAACTAATAGTTTGACTATGAAATTTTCACATACGGCGCCAAACTGTATGACCCAAAAAATAGATTTTGGTTTTATATAATTAGATTTATTGAAAAATAGTGTTGATTATAGTCAATATATTAATCCAAGGATAGATCTTGTATTTTACGGTGAATATTTAATGTATAACATTAAAGAAAATAACTTGGGACAATAATGACTTGAAAATATAAATGAGAGCAATAAATGACATTCAAACAGTAAATGAGGCAATGATAGCCCGACACGGATGAGTTCCCCAGATGTCTTTCTGATAATGATGGATAATGATAAACAACTGTATATTCCGATCCTTCTTGCATCAGGAGAAGAGGGATAAAAGAAGGAAAATGTAAAGTCAACCTTTGTTTCTATTTAATAAAGTGAGAATTCTTAGCATTGAGAATGTTGATGAAATTCTCTAGAAAAGGTTCAATCCCTTTTTTGATCTACATCTCTTCCTATTTATAAGAGTACATGAGCCACAAAACCTTAAATAGTATAACATAAGGGAATATACAATGAATATTCTCTAGGAAATCTAAATTCTAAGGCTGGTCATTACTTCGTACTGAGAGTGGATGCTCATCTTCGTCCTCGTGCCAAGCTAGTTCGATCTCGGCACAACTTTATCCTTCACCTTTGACCTCGAGCTTTTGGAGTCATCTCGACGCGTCACCACCGTTGTAGGCTTTATTATAGTTGGCCGGGTCAAATATGTCAAATGAAGTTTTTACCCATACAGTTCCCAACTTCAACTTGGAGTACGTAAATTGATTCATAAAATTTTTTTGTAAAAGAATTGTTTGATATGTTATGTAGTTTTCTCCTTATAGTTAACTCACTTTCTTTTGTAAGAAAAGATAAAACCTTTTTGAATTTAGTAATAATACACAATATAAATGAAATTTGATTTTTAGGTAACAATTTGAGTTATGATACATTGTTTAGTCTATATTGACTCAATAAATCTTCATCTTCTCAAATTTTGGTACCGGACACCGATCGAACTCATTTGACTCCCTTTCAACTCTTCCATTTGACACGAAAAAAAGATAGAAAAGAAAAAGAAAAATGGAACGGCAACGGGGTAAAACTTCAACAGTTCAACTTGCTCCTAATTCTTGCCACCCAAAACCAAAATAGAAGCAGCTGCAGTTTTGCATTAGCNAGGAAAACATTTTTCAGGTAATGTCTGATACCGTCCCTCTTTCTTACGTCATTTCTTACTTATTTAAGCATTGTGAATAATACAAGGGGGAAAGCTCATAACTTGTTCTTTGTAAGTTGTAACTTACTACTATTATTTTGTTTTATCCGTTTTTGTAGTTTTTTCCTTTAATCTGCTAGTAATTTCTTGTTAGCTTGATAAGGATAAAGAGGACATTTTTAATCCTAATGTATGTGTCTGCTTGTTGGGTCACATAGCCTTGCATTAGATTTGATCAAGGGCGGCTCGACGTAATATGGGGCCTAAGGCGAAAATAAAAAGTGAGGCCTTAAATTTTTTTAATCATTTTTTTACTCTTATAATTTATCGAAATCTAAAGAAGTTATAATCAGTTTTAATTATTGCCAATGTCTAACCAATTTGTTTAATCTCTCTTGTGTTATCATGTTGAACTTTATTGATTTAGTTTTGAAAAACTTTTTCAACCGAGGCAACTGATATAGAAATTGTTAACGGTAATTGAATTAACACTTTTTAACTGATTGAGTTTGCCAATTAGAGTATTCTTCTACTTATACAGTTTCTCTTAACACTTTTTCAACCAATTTGTTTAATCTCTCTTGTGTTATCATGTTGAACTTTATTGATTTAGTTTTGAAAAACTTTTTCAACCGAGGCAACTGATATAGAAATTGTTAACGGTAATTGAATTAACACTTTTTAACTGATTGAGTTTGCCAATTAGAGTATTCTTCTACTTATACAGTTTCTCTTAACACTTTTTCTTCTAAATATAAGTTGAAATAAATAATACTGTAGTAACTGCTATGTTTCAAGAGTCATTCAGTGTTAAGGATGAATTTTAATAGTTACTTATCAAAGTAGCTTGAAACATATCTGCAAAGGCACTCAAAGAATTAAGAAAAATTGTTCTAAACTAACATTGTAAGTCGATTCAAGTTGGGACGAATTTTTTTTTTTTGGGATCAAATCCACTAGGCATTGTGCCTATGGTTAGTTTTTATAAATAAGAAATCAACTAGTACAGCAACGGAGGGGGACATGAACCTTACCTCCAAAACTATGGTGGATAACCAATTGATTGTCCAAAAGTGACAATCAATTGAAACCTGTACACTGAGTGAAGTTAGACCTATAAAATGGTGCCATATGCCTTTCCATATTGGATTAGCAACTGGACCCCAAAAACAAAAGTAACCTAGGTCAACTATGCAAAAAGGATGGAAGGACTCCTTCCATTTACCGGAGAAACTATACCTAAAGAATGAACTAACTACCCCCAAGTGACAAAAAACAAATGTACAACCATGAGTGGGGAGTAGTTCTATAGCACAAAGAACCTATATTCATCATAGCTTTAGCATTGCTAAGAAGGAAAGCCAATCTGAAGAGAAGCATATGAGTGACCAAAGGAGAATGAGCCGTGAATTGTCTGTGTGTGATGCCATTGACAGAATTGATGGAGCACTGCATTGGTGGCATTAGCTGCCTGTTGTGTAACCTCTTGGGTGTCCATGAAAATGCCTCAACTATGTGTCCAGATGCACAGGAGAGGGCATGATGTGCTGCTGATGATAGAGGGCAAGTGTGATGCATTCTGCACCTAGAATATGCAGTAGTGGTGCCCTGGGAGTTGCCTGTTGATGTAGCATAGTGGTCAGATAGGTTGGAACACTTAAGCATGTTCCCAAGGATCCTATCAGCAGTGTATGAATGTTGTATGTGTGCCAAATTTGCATGATCATGGAGACAGCCCAGGAGGATTGATGTACTTTCAACAGACTGAGCATCTGGGATGCTAATACCACACCTTGGAAGTGCATCAATGATCTAGACCTGTCAAGTGTACCTGCAAAATTCAACAAACAAGTTAGTAGTAAAGGGCCACCGTTGCCCTTCTTCCAGGGAAAAGAGATTGTGACTCTGCAGACAGAGTTGAAGGACTGCTGCAGTCCGTGAGCATCACTATCCTTCATCTGTGAGTAAAAGAGTAGGGAATTGTTCTCAGGTTCTTGTGGGTTATGAGGGCTGGTGTGGCCTTTGAAGACATGAAATAACTAGTAACTACAATTTAAGATGTGTAAAACTTTTAGTTATAACTATTTTAACCAAATGATTTAAAAATTCAATCAATAATACATAATTATTAAATATTATATATACGTATTATTTAAAGATTTTGGGGCCCTAAATATTTTGGGGGCCTAAGGCCATTGCCTTAGTGGCGGCCTCAGGCTCCAGCCGGCTCTGGATTTGATTATTTTGTTGTTACGTTAGAATTTACATTCTACTAAATTTGTTGGATTGAAGTTTGGAATTAGTCTTAGATTCTTTGTTTCCTTATGGAATATGTTTCATTGTGCAACAGACATATGGTCTTTGTACAGGAACTTCTTGCTTGTAAGAATTTTAAAAACACTTTTTTGTTCATATTAACAGGCATTCAAGTGGCAAAGGTTGAGGGATTTGTGATTTAGGTCACAGGTTCAAGTCCTGTGCCATGCGAACTAGGCCTGGTATTTAAGTGCAGAAGGGTAGAAGGTCGAGTCCATTATCCCTGAGTTACAATGGTTGCAGTTGGTCCTACGGGTTGGCCCCAGACAGATTTCTCCGTCATTGAAATAAACAAGGTGTTCACTTTTTCTTAGCTCTCTGCATTCTCTGTGTTGTTTAACTTTATTAGGGAGTTGTTGGGGAGAAGGGGAGATTTCGGGATTAACTTAGAGGGAGCTGCGAGTTTGAGTCTTGCTGTTTACTGTACTTCACATATTCATGCTTTATCTAGTGTACTTCACATATGCATGCTTTATCTACTTCACATGAGACCATGTTAGGTTTTTAAGAAGTGATTATTTTTGCAGAACCTTACACCCTGAATTGCAAGCGGAGCTTCTCCTGGCATTGATAGTCACGTAGCAAAATGGCTGTTTGTGGTTCAAGAACTTCTAATATTGGTCATTTTGTTGGCAATATGACTGCTAGGCGCCTACAATATGGTTTGTCAGTAAATAGTAGCACCGTCTCTTACAGCAATAGAAGCATTGAGAATCTTAGAAAAGCCAATATTAGTTTGAGAAATAAAGACAAGCCCCAAAACTTCCTGTTATCTCAATATTTCAGAACTAGTGTTGCAAAGAGGAGGGGTAATTCCAATCCATACAAAGGATTTGGATTAAAAGGTTTTCGCATTTTATCACCTGTGCATTTCTCTTCTGAAACTACTTCTGCTCCTGGTCTGTCTTCTGATAACTCTAAGGGAAAGGAACAAGCTGCAAATACTGCTGATTCTTCTGAAGGAAAGATACACCTGAAGCTGAATTCGGGATCATTTTACCTGCCTCATCCCGCTAAAGTAAAAATTGGTGGAGAGGATGCCCATTTTATTTATGGCCCTGCACAAGCTATAGGTGTAGCTGATGGGGTCGGTGGATGGGCTGATCTTGGTATTGATGCAGGGGAATATGCCCGTGAATTAATGTCTAACTCTATATCTACGATACAAGAGGAACCTAAGGATTCCATCGACCTAATCAAGGTCCTTGAGAAAGCTCACATAAGAACAAAAGCAAGAGGTTCTTCGACTGCTTGTATTATTGCGCTCACTGATGAAGATCTTTATGCTGTTAATTTAGGAGATAGCGGATTTATGTTGGTTAGACATGGATCTGCTATATTTAAATCTCCTGCACAACTGCACGGTTTTAATTTTCCATATCAACTGGAGGGAAGTAGTGCTGGTGATTTGCCTAGCTTGGCTGAGGTGTTTAAAATTGCAGTTGCTCCAGGAGATGTCGTAATTGCTGGTACGGACGGGCTTTTTGACAATTTATATGATGCAGATATCACTGGAGTTGTGCTTCATGCTGTGGAAGCTGGCTTAGGGCCACAGATGACAGCTCAAAAGATAGCAGTATTGGCACAACAAAGAGCAATGGACCCAACTAAGCCGTCCCCTTTCTCTGATGCAGCCAAAGAGGCCGGATTTGAGTACCACGGGGGAAAACTTGATGACATAACTGTAGTTGTTTCTTGCATAACTAGTAACAGCAATCCATAATATTCTAGATTTTCGAAGACATGGGAAATTGGGAATGTTGACCACTTCGGATTCTTAGTTTGGACACTGCAGTACCAGAAATCAGCGGCATCAGTGGGTTGAATTTTTGCTCTTGGATTGCCGAAAGAACAATTGTTGAAAACGAAAGCTCTGCAGCTGCATGTTGCGGCAAGCTAGTGGAGCACCTTATTTGGTCAAGTGTTTTAGTTCCTAAAATTCAAATGGGCTGATTGAGTTCATCAGAATTTATTGGAGGGCGCTATGTTCTACCATGACTAAGTTGATAGAGATCTTAATTGATTAATTGTTCTTGTTGACATTGATGTATATTAAGATACTGCACGCTGAAAGTTCTCTTTTGTGTCTAATTGGTTTTGTATGCCATGGGTTCTGTATTCTTGAAAAAATACTTTCCTTTTTCTACCCACTTGGGGTTTGTGAGAACACAATTTGCTGGCCTACTGCCCAACTCTGGATTTAGTTTTGTAACACTCTGAATATACTAATCTGAAATTCGATTTGGAGGGATGGGATGACTGACAAGGAGGGAGGTATACCTCCTTGAACCGGATGGGTTGGGTGTTAGAAAAGTTGATGAACAATTTACACTCAAGGGTGTGACCTATAGAGGTTAAAACTTTGGAGATCAAGGTTCAAATCCTAGTAAGCAACAAAAAAAAAAGTTAAGTAATTTTTTCCTATCTATGTAAGTCTTGGTGAACAGAGTTACTTATTAGTACTTGTGCTAGTGGAAAGTAGTGTCAAGAACTCGTCTCTCCACTAGAATCCTAAAAGTCAAGTGCAGCAGAAATTGGAAAGATCCTAACTTTGTATATATGTACCAAAATATATAGGGATAAGTATAATAAAAGGAGATAAGTAGCTATTATATCCTGCTTAGAGAATATGATATTAATTTGTATAGTAATTAAAGTTGTTCTCTAATGAAAATCGAAAAAGCTGTCTTGATTTTTGGCTTAGGTATATATAATGTTCTGCTAGATCTAGTGTAGAGCACAATTCAGTATCTATGTCTAATTTAAATTCTTCTAGGCTTATACTAGGGGTATCAAATAAGCGGGTTGGGCTAATTTCTGGCGGGTCAAAATGAGTTGAGTAAAGTAGCTTGGGCTGAGATAGACTGGGTTAAGTTGAGTTAAATTTTGGGTCATAGCCAACCCACCCAATTCTTACCTAGCTTTAATTTATTTGTATTATTTTCTGATGTATTGTTTAATTATCAAATACGATTTTTTTTTCTTTTGTTATGGTCATATATAACATATCAAACAAAAAAAATTATTTTAAAAATATTTTAGCAAAGTTACTCATGGATCAATTTAGGCTAAAAATCAGCCCAACTTTAGATAGGTTGAAATGGGTTGTTGGGTTGAATTGAACAAATGGGCGAGCCAATAACCAGCCCAACCTTGGACGGATTGGGCGGGCTCAAATTGCCACCCCTAGCTTACACTTAGGTTTTCACCAAATATTTCTACTTTAACTAGAGAAAGATGTATTGGCATAAAACTGAAACAATCTTTAAGTGAGTTTTATATACTCTTATATAAGGGTGACAAGTGGGCCGATCCGGACCCAGGACCGCGGGCTAAACGGGCCAGGACTGTTAGGATCGGTATTCGTGGGTCTGGCCTGGGCTTCTGGGCCGTTCTACAATTGGGACTGCTAGGACCGGTCCCTGGCGGGCCAAACGGTCCCAACGGTCAAATTTCAAAAAAATATCTGTCCGTTGGGGAATTTAAAATCTGGCCGTTGGCTGTCACAAGCTATTTACAAAATAGCCATTTAANCACTTTATTGTTACAATTTATGAAAAAATTATGAAGTTGGTGAATTGAAGTCTTCGAGTCTTCAACGATAACCAAATTTCAACAAGTTGTTCGTCAATTCGGTAAACTTGTTCCAACTCTTAAGTTTTAATATTATAGTTTTATTTGTTTTATTTATTTATTATTACTTGATTAATTAAGATGGATTCCTTAAAAAAAAATTTGGTAAAAATAAGGGAAAATTCAAGAATGGTGAATCTAGTGGTCAATCTGTTCCTCCTCCACTGCCCCCGGCTTCCCGAACCAAACCCCATATCTGTCCTACACCTGCTATTCTTGATAGCGATAATAATTTATTACAATTTACTGAGAGTATGGTGAATAATTAGACTATGAATTAATGAATGCTCTTTATTTCAATCCAACTATTGATGAAAATGATGATGAAGAAATAGATTTTGATGAAACTCAACCGGATGATGATACACCCACTAGTCCTGCTCCTGATGTTAACCCAACTAGTGATAACCCTGCTAATCCAAATGATGCCCCATCTGATACTCCTGTTACTGTCCCTACTTTTTCTAGACAACCTACCAAACGGACGAAAACATCTCATGTTTGGCTATTTTTCACTCAACTAATTCCAGAAAATAAGACTAAGTGTAAAACTTGTGGCACAGAGTTAGCTTTTAAATATTTTGGATTGCGGATGGGGGGAGGGGGAGGAGGAAACTTTGGCTAGACACATATTGAAACACCCTCAAGATAGAGTCAGTTATCTTCGTATGAAAGCTTTGGCCGAGGAAAAAAGTGTATTTACTCCTAGTCAGGCTGACCCTAGTACCGGTTCAAATTAATTTTAACCGGGAATTAACACTGTTACTGGTGGTATTTTATATTATGATCCAAAAAAAGATCAGGACGAATTGATAAAAATGGTAACTGTTATGTGCTTACCCTATAGTTTTCCTTCTGACCCTAACTTTGTGCATTATATTAGAAATTTTTTTAATCCTACTTATAAAAGTTTTTCTCGCACAACCGTGAAGAGCAATATTTATAAATATAAACATGAATATGAAGAATATTTACGCTATTTATTTACTCATATAAATTGTCGTATTGGTATTACAACTACTATTGGTAGAAGTGATAACGGCCGTGATTACCTTACTGTTACCAGTCATTGGATTGATGATGATTGGATAATGCAAAAGCGTATTATTGCTTATAGAATAATTAATTCACGTCACGCAAGGCAGTTTATTGCTAGCATAGTTATGGATATTTGTAGATATTTTTGCATTAGTGATAAAATAATGTCAGTTTCAATGGATAATGCTACTAGTAACAAAAATGATATAGACATGCTTACCACTACGCTAAATCCTCCATTTAGTAACATTTTTCATGTTATATATATTTGTCATATTTACCATTTAATTGTAGATGATGGTATGAGAATTTTAAATATTGAAATTGAAAAGGTTAAAATGGCTCTTAGCTAGTTGTTTATTTAAACCGTAGAAGTAGACTTAGAGAATATTTTAAAAGATGCGATGAATTTGGCCTAAGAGAAAGAAAGGTTCCTAAACCTTGTCCAATTAGATGGAATTACATGTATGAAAGTTTGGTTGTTGCATATGAATATAGAAACCCCATAAACTCAACGTTTAATGCACATGTAAGTGATGATGATGAGCACCTTACGAATGAGGATTGGGCTAATGTTAAAATACTTGTAGAGTTTTTTAGAAAAATTTCCTATTTCTACAAATAAATTTTTTAGGCAATATTATCTTACTATTTCTAATTGTTTAGTTTATATTGCAGAACTTGCAAATTTGTTTGCTCCTTTTTCAGAGGGTGGGGAAATTTATAAACTTGCTATTGATTCTATGAGAAAAAAGTTTAAAAAATATTTTTTCCCTATTCCCCCTATTTATGGTGTTGCTGCTTTGTTAAATCCTTGTATGAAATTAGGAGGCCCTCAATTTTGGTATGAAACTGCTTATAATGGTTTAGCACTTGAAGATGAGGAGTTGTCTCAACTTTCGGAAGCAATAGCCTCAATTAGAATAAATGCTCAAACTATTTTTAATGCTTATCAAGTTGCATTAAAACATGCTAGACCAAATGTTCCAACTCCTTCTCTTCTGATTCTCAATCATCTAAAAGAACTGCGGGAGTAAGAGTACTTAGTGCTTGGGTGGGGTTTAGGGGTTCTCAAGGTTATAGTAGTAGAGATTTTTCACAACTAAATGAGCTTGAAGTTTATTTGTCGCAGGGGATTAAGGAAGTAAATCCCGACGGCTCCTTTAATCTTTTGGAATGGTGGAAGGACAAGGAAAAATACTTTCCGGTTCTTTCAAGGATAGCCCGAGATATTTTAACTATTCAAGCTTCAACAGTGGCATCAGAGAGCGTTTTCAGTCAAGCAAAACTTCAACTCGGTGATTATAGAGCGTCTATGAGGGAGAGCTTGGAAAAATCAGTATTTTTTAGAGATTGGATCCGTTCGGAAAGAAGAAATTTTGGACTTGCTGAATCACAACCAGAGGAAGACGAAGCTTATGAAGAAATGCTAACTGAACTTGCGGAGGATGCTGCTTCGCCCGGAAGCGGCGATGACCAAGCTACTTTTCCGCCACCACCAACGGAAATTTCTCCGGACCTTGATGGATTTATGAAGTTTGTAAGAGATACCATGTAACTTGTATGAACAAAAATTAGTATATATTATGTAACTTGTATTTTTGGCACATCTCGATTAGTTTCTTTTTTTCTCAATGGTGTTATTAGCATCTTGTTGTGCTCATTCCATAGGGGGAAGGAAGAGTAAGAAAGATATTGCCATGTATTTTTAATGCTATAATAAAATTATAAGGCATTGCTTTGAATATATCTTTACAATATTTTTGTCTTTAGACTTTAAATTTGAATTAAAAAATTTAGGTCAAAATTATACAAGGCATTGCCTTAGATATTTTTTTTAACATCTTTTTGTCTCTAATTTTTATTTAATTTTAAGAAAAAAATATATCCGTTGGGCCCACTTAGCCCGCGGGCCGGGACCGTTTAGCCCGGGACCATGAGTTCGTGGGCCCGGTCCCGGTTCCTATAAAAAGACCATTTGGTCCGGGATCGTTTAGCCCGTTTAATTTGGGACCAGGACCAGGACCGTTTGGACCGACCCATTTGGCCCGTTTAGGGCCCGGACCAACCCACGTGCCAGCCTTACTCCTATATCATAAGTCCACTTCCTCTCTTCTTAACCTTTTCAGTTTTATAACATGCCACTTTAGACTATGTCTTGTACTAAGATTCAAGATTTTTCTCAATTTTCTTTTAAATAGCCGAAATAATTGGACATTGTTCACTCTTTTCTTTTCTTCTTTTCAACCAATCTCGTAACACTTGCTTCTTTAATCCCCACCCTAGCCACATCTGAAATCAAGTACCTTTTTTTTTTACCCGTAAAACGTTACAGTTGAATTTATACGTGGTTTCTAGACAAGTGAACT